TATCACCCTGCATCTGTCAGCATGTGAGAGGCAGCAGCACAGACACTGTGCCAGTGGCAAGGGTGGAGGTGGGGCTGCCTGGTGCTTCAGTGCAAGAGAAGGCTCTGGGCTGGGCCCCAAAGTCCCTCCAGTTTTCTTCCCTGGCTTGGAGGGACCAAAGTTTTGGCTGAGATCATGAGGTCACATCAGTGGATCCAAACTCCATTCTGCTGACATGCATTGACTGTGTTAGAGGCTGTCTTGGTAGGTCAGAGTGGCTTTCTCTGCTCCCCCCTGAAACCTTCCTGGGGTTGCAGAGTAAATTACAGCACAAGTAACATGCTCCAAAATAGTGCCTTAGTGACCTGAAGCTATTTCATGAATACTGTGACTAGAACGCCCAGAATATATTCTTAACTACTATGGACTTGGCACTTTACAACTGATGGTGTTTTTTAAAAAACTGTCATTATGTAAATCAACTCAGTGGAAATCTGTTGACTTTTCATAGCTTTTTATTAGGCTGGCATGCTTCCCTTAGTCCTCTAGCGGAGATATAAACCAGTGATTGTAAAGTAAAATAAATGAACTGGCACGTAGATATTACACCTCCTGTAGTGTTGTAGGTAATATTAATACTAGGGGCTGGAGACATCTAAATCACAGAAGAGATGAGTCCACTAAACAAAGACTTTTGCATGTTTAAAAGTGTGTTTGTAGAAATTCTGGATTTGTTTGTTTCTTTCCTTGCACTGCTTCTTTTTTTAGGAGTGTTGTTTGAAAGTTTTATTTCTTAGATAAACAAACTGTCATATGAGTTCAGAAGAACATCAAAAGTTGTGTTCGTGGTGCATTCCAAGGGACCCAGAAGAGCTGGGAGCCCGGCAGCATTCCTGCATCCATCCCTGCACCCAAGGCACTGAGGTCAACATTTCCAAAGCTAACATCCTCATTTCAGGTGTCCTGCTTGACTGCAACCCTTCAGTCTGCAGCTGGTTTTACCACTGTAAGCCACCCAATCTCCCGTGTAATGTCACTCCACATATCTCACTACACTGTCACTCCCACTACAGCACTGCAGGCAGCTCGGGCTGGCAGGCATGCTGCAGTTTTCCAGTACTAGAATCCACATAATCCAAGGTGCTTAAAGTAAAGATGCTGCTTGTAAACTCCAATTACATTTTACACTTACTCTGCTGTGTGCTTGTAAAAACAGCATTTCTTCAGGAAGGGTTCCCTGCATGAGCACCAGGGCATTTCGATCTTTTAGGATGTCAGCCTAACAGTGAGGAACTATGATCAATGCTTGACAGTCTGGTTAATTCAAATGCAAATGTATATGCCCTGTCAGTCACGAGAGAAAGCCAATTAAATGAAGATGTCTCCCATGACATGGGCAATTAAAGAGTTGCTTTTCGTCCTGCTGTGCAAAGATTTTCCTTAATTTCCTGTCCCTTGCTGAGACAGCCTTGGCTTTTCTGCCTGGGCTAGAAGCCCAGGTGTCACCGCTCTCACGGGTGCCTCTGTCCCCCTTATCCTTGCACTGAGGAGGAGGGGGAGGAGGAGGGAAGAACCCAAACTCCCGTTTTTTCTGGGATAAACTGAGCAGTAGCTGAAGAAACCACTGGCTCGACAGTGTAGAGCAGCAGGGCAGACAGATATCCTTCCCCTACCAACCTCACTTACAGTGTTTCTAAACACACAGACATCACCACACACATGGGCTGCTTGTTTCCTTGCTCTTGTACACTCAGCGCTGGCGCCTTATCACTCATGGACGGTGGCTGGAAGCACAGCACATGCCTTAACCCTCTCCTGGCTGCCCTGAAAATTTGACACACTTGCAGGAAAACAGGTGTCATCTGACAGCTCCCACTGCTCCTGTAAATGCAGCCAGCCAGATGCAGATACTGTGCAGCCAGAGGAAATAAATTTGTGCTATTGTTAACTCTTTCTCGCCCTTTCTTACGTATTTTCTGAAATAATAATGAAATCTCATGACTGTACACAGAGCCATCCTAAGCACCCAGGGACCCTCTGGCTATCCCTTCCTGCTCAAACCTGTGCAGGCATGCCCAGCTGTGTCCATACCTACACAGAGCACTTGCAGGCTGGGAGGCTCCCACTGCAGGAAAAGCTGAGTTTAGTAGTTTGTCCCTCTGTTTCTCCTTGAGAAGTTTGCAATTGATCAGTCAATGCTCTGGACAACCCTTCATTCTGGCAGGTCAAACCACTGAGCAACTTTAGGTGCTCTGTGCTGGAGACTGGCACTCAGCCAAGAGTTTGCAGTCACTGGCAGATGAGAGATTCCTAACACAGGGGAGAGTGGAAATGGAAATAAAAATACACCTGAGGAAGACATATATTCTTGCACTGATGATGTGACTGCAAAAAGCTACTAAAACTGGGGCCCTCATTTTCAGAAGGTAATCCAATGCAACCAGGAGTATTTGTATCATTGTTGTAGCATAAATGTTTCACTCACTCTCATATACTCTATCTGCCCATCACACCTACCCACTGCCTTTCACCCTGTGGTTCAGTGGTCACGTCTCTGGAAATGACCCTCTTGTATCACACTCCAATGCTTTTCTTTACACAACAGACTTCTGTTGCCTGTGATGTCTCCCTAGGCATCACCATGATACATTCAGTAACGCCAGCAGTTGTTTCCATTTGCTTTTGTCAATGGAAGGATGCTGAAACAAAGGGGGTTTTATGATAATTCTTTGCAGATGATGAATTATAGGCAAAATGTCTGTTAGTACACTGACAAGTCTCCCTTTCCTTGGAGACAGTGTCATGTAATGCTGTTCACAGCAGGAGCTTTAGGAGGCCTTTCTCTCATATGATCTATGGCTTTGATTAATGGTAACAGGGACATCCGCATGCCTCATGCGAGCATCTCGGGTAGGATTCACATCACTGAATATTAATCATCTCACCATCATGCCCCTTTCTGTTTACCTTCATGCATTGCCATGTCTGTCATCAGAAGTGAGTGTCTGTGAAACCATCCCACATGCCAGGCTCAGCATCTCACCTGCAGCAGGGTGTTTGGCTTCCAGACCCTCCACAGCCCCTAGCTGGCATCACCATGCTGGTTCACATTTGACTCACATTTTGGAAGTTTTCCTTTCACATTTTAAGGTTATTTCCCTAATGATTCTGACATGATTAATCC